ATATATATATATATATATATATATATATATAAATCAAATACAGTAGAACTTGTATTAATAACTTTTTCTTAAATTACGATGTTTATTTAAAATCCATTTATTTATGGTACAATTAATCAAACTTCTGCTCGTTGATAATTCCACTTATCTTCAACTTCAAGGTCACATTCACTTTTTCGAAGTGGAAATGATATATTTTTTGCTCCGTATTCAATATCGATGCAACTCGACATTTTCTATAAAAGAGTATTATCTATATATGTCGAAAAATTATTAATTTAGGAGATTGTTCAATCTTAATTTTGTAAAGTCCATCTACGAAAGGTGAAGAGGCAGAAGAGGCTTAATATTTCTGTGTTCATAGTGTCCTTGTCTTTCATACATAGATTTTATAAAATTGAAGTTAAGATCTCCTAAATCTATTAATTTTTCGACATAAATAAGATATTTTCTCATGGATGGATTGGTTGCACTTGAAAAAGCGAAGATAATCTTGAAATTTGCGAAACTCCTCCAGTTACAAAAGAATAATTATGGCAGCCTCTAACAGTCTTTGTTAACAAAATTTTTTTCACATCTTCGAAAACAACGGAGATATTCAAAGTGTTCAAGTGACACAGTTCACCCCGTGTAAGTAGCTCATGTATTGTGAATAATACCACATAGAATGTGTTTTAACCATTCAAAAACCACATACAGTTCATCCACTTTGATTTTCGTATAAATTCAATCACGTAACCGAACAAAGATAATCGCACTATTTTTAGTTATTTTCCTCGAAATAAAATGCACTTTATCGCGCGCCGGTATCGCGTAATGCAGTTTATCGCTCGGTAAACAGATATTCGCAATCTGCTCTGAAAACGATCGTCGCAGTTGAAGAATTGGATTATGGAAATCTACTTCTTAATTGCGGTACGCATGATTAACAGCAGTTGGGAAATAATAACACCGGGACATGGAGTGGGTCAAGTGCTCATGATGTTCGCCTCTCTTAATGTATACTAAATACGCCTGACCCATTCAGATAGTCGTAAACACACGGTTTTCAGCAAACTCGGCCCACTCGACGGCCAGGGCCCCGTTATTTCGAGTGTGCACTTCGTCCGGGAAACCAGTTTTTATCGTCTATCCGAACGTTATTCGGCCAGCAAACTCATTTGCAAACTCATACGTACGTACGCTCCTCGTGGCCATTTTTCTTTTTTTCTTTTTTTCCTTTTTATTTCCTCCGAGGAAGTACACCTTGCCAGGCATCGCGGTTACGATCAGATGTTGACTAACCGAACTGGATAATTACCTCCACGGCACGTGATCACAGGAGTTACAGCGTTGCGAGAATATAATGAGAATAAAGAGATCGTTATCCCACCGGTGAGGAACTGTCGGCAGGACTTTAGGTTTGCTGACTTGAAGCTACGAAAACTCACGATTCTTGTTTCCTTTGTTATTACGCTTGCAATAAG